TTTAAATTATTTACATCCAAAAAAGTAGAGAAATTAAAGGTACGACCCTAAACTAACGTGACAAATGTTTTGGGCTGGGCAGACGTTTTGTAGGGGAAAATAATACTACGCAATGCTCTTGGTGTCCAATCCTCCTTTATTAAGTGATCCCTTTATTGTATACAAAAGTTATGTTTTTCCCCTTAAAAACTGTCAAAGATTGATTTGTCATGAATTTTGATTTAGTACTCGCACTACTGGTAGTACTTAGCAGATTTCACGTTCATGAACATACGTGTTTTTCTTTCTTCTCCTTTTTTCATTTTATTTGTTTCTGCGATTTTTGTATACACTGTCTAAGTATTATGTATAAATTAATATGTCGAATGTGTATCTTGGTACTAAGCTGCTCGGTCAAGTTAAATCTCAAAGAAACCCGTTTAAACTTAGTTAGGATGCGAGCAGATGAAAAATGACATTTTTCTTCGATATTGTAATTTTAGGTTTTGTAGGCAGAACTTAAGAGTTAAAACGAAAACAATAGTCGACCAAGATACTTACTGCGATTCGCTTTTTCTTCCGCGTCATTCCTTGTTTAACCTTTGTTGCAGCTATATATTGGATTTATTGCGCTCATTGCCACTGAAGACTGCTCTTGTCTTCTTGTTTCGCAGGGCCAAGCTAGTTTTAATCTATTGATTATTTCATATTTTGGCGATATGATCTTTCTTGGGTTGTTTTGTTCCGGATATAACGATCGATCCCCTTATATTTGTCTCGATCCTTGACTATTTTCAGGCGCAGACGTTTATAGTTAAACAAACAGAGAGAGGAAGACAAATCAAATTGTTCATGTACTAATTAAAAACAAGCGCACCGCAAGAAATTTCCGCTCGGAGTATGGGGTGAATGAAAGACGCGTTCATGATCCACCTCGGTCAAACGTTCTTGATTTATTTAGTAGGATTTCATTCACCATTCAGTGGAAATTTGGCCAAGGAAGCATAAGATATGGACAGAATATGACGATCTTTTAATTTTTTGCAACAAGTCAACTTCATTTCGTGGAAAATGCTTCGCGCGGTAGGAGAGAAATTATGCTGTCAAATGCCAAATAACCCTTACCAGACTACCAATTCGCCAATTAAGAAACGAGAAGAGAAGTGTAGCCGGATACATCGGGATTGGTTCGGGGATCGGAAAGATCTTCTTCGGAAACATTTCGGACCTTCCGTGGGTAGATACTTTACGTTTCTTATTTTCCCCAGGAAAGATAATACGTTTTGGTAAAATACAACTACTGGTCTATTATCAATGCTACGTTCCGATTGGTTGAGCAACTACTAGGCTATATGTTATAGCCCACTAGTAGCGAAAAGCGCCGGCTTTTTGGCGGCAAAAAAGGATTTAAAAATTGTTTCTGGGATCGTTATTGGGGCCGCTTTGCTCAGTTATTGGCCCAACTTCGTTCCCAGGTTCTCTTTCGCTCTGTAGGGAGGGGTATGAGAGAAACTTGGGAACGAGGTTGTTATTGGCCAAATTTTCCCTGTCTTTAGAGACAGTCTTAGAAGTTTTCGCGAAATTTATCTCGGTGCGGTTTTCTTCTTGTTTTTAACTGGCTTTGGAAGAGTCCTAAAAGTAATCTCCTTCCAGACATAATGGTATATTTGACATTTTTCAGAGTTTCTCCGTTCTCTTCAACTGCGAAAAAAAACCTTTGGTTGATATAAAAATAACAACTAATTCGAAACGAAGCATCCCTAAAAAGCTAGGAACATTATTGATGTCACAAATGTAAACACGGAATGTTGAAAAACAAAAGAGGGTGAATAGCAGCTGATGCAGTTTTCTTCATGTAACGGAACCATTCTAAAAACGTTAAATAATGATCGATAACAATGAGCTTTATTCTAGAAATTGTACCAAATCAGTACACATATTTTCTGTAAGAATTTAACAATCACAACTAAGAATAACAAAACAAAACAAGAAAAATTAAACATTGTAAAATAACAAGTAAGATATTTTTAATATAGTAATGAACATATTTAAACAGTAGTTAATGAGAATAACTCATCAACATACAACAACTGTAGTATACTGAGCTTAATGGTCTCTAATTTTCATTCAGTTACATATAAAAATAGAAACAATCTTTGCTTTGAGTCATTTGCCTGTTGTGCATCACACGAAGAAATAGGGCAATATATCTTTCTTGATCAGGTATTGTTTTAATATTATTTTGCAGTACGTTAAAAATTTTTAGAGATATTGCTCGGACGAACGAAAAAAAAAGAAAAACGTTCTGCACTCGTTTCATTATTTCAATGTCATTTCAGTGTTAGGCAGATGGTTTTTTAATGCCTTGACTATTTGTTGGATATTTGACGAAAAACAAGATGCTTGCAATTTTGAAAATTAAAAATATATATATATATATATTATAAAACATTAATAACTGCAGTTTCAAATTCATGATTTAATCAACGTCATAAATTTTAAACTACACCGTAATTTTAGGGAGTTATTATAACTCCAAAAATGGAGTAAAAATGTTAGGTACAGGATAACCCCTTTTTGGGGGTTATTTTAACTCCTAATTTAACTCCGAATTTGGGGTCATTTTTACTCCTGAAAAAGAGTTCTTTTTACTCCCAGTCAGGAGTTAAAATCACTCCGAAATGGGGTTACTTTAGTCCTTACATGGGTTGTTTTTACTCTTTTTGGAGTTAATTTAACTCTGAAAGTGGAGTAAAAATTTTAGGTACAGGATAACTTCTTTTTTGGGGTTATTTTAACTCCTCAATATCTGGGGTCACTTTTACTCCTGAAAAAGAGTTCTTTTTACTCCCAGTCTGGAGTCAAAATCACTCCGAAATGGGGTCACTTTTATTACTCCTTACATGGGTTGTTTTTATCCTTTTTGGAGTTAAAATAACTCCCCCAGAAAAACTCCACTGTTGGGAGTTAAATTAGCCCCACTAGAGGAGTTATTATAACTCCCTGAAAATTACTGTGTAGACACCAAAATAAACGCCTGTCAAGGTTAACCTTTTTCGTGGGTATCAGTTGCATCATGAACGTTCAAAAGCTTATTTTCATCATCTATTGTTCATGTAAAATACATACTTTTGTAAAGGCAAACGTTCTGTAAGGTAGCTACAGTAGACTGCTCCTTCAGAAGTCTCTAATTTCTAATAAGAGTTATGCATAAATTATTTGCTAAAACTACATTTGCAATTATTGTATTTCTTACGTCAAAAATCATTGATCTCCCGGCTTCGGTCCACAATTGCCCTTTTAGATGTCAGAACGTTACCGGCAAATGTCACTGCCAAACCTCGTTTAACTGTAGACTTGTTTTAAATGCAGAACTTCAAATGCGCCGAATCAAATACAAATTAGTCATTTTTATCGTTCTCGCTCATTTGCCTCACATTCGAAACATGTAATTCCCATGTGACGAACCCAATGTTAATAAGGAAGAACAGCAAGAACTATCATTTTGCTTGTTAGCATTAGATTCGTCACAAGTGAAGTCGTCGACGTTTGACTTGGTCACCTAAAAATTGCAAGTTTCAAAACAGTGAATTCCGAGAGCGGAGACTTAAGCCTCTGTTAAAGGACCTTTCTTAACTCATGAGATAAACCTAAGATAGGTTTAATATTTACTGAGATGGGTATGGGCTGAGCAACAGTTTAATTTCTAATCTTTCCGACAACTAAACAGAATTCGTTTTAATCATTCATCGACTCCAACTCAGATCTAAGAGGGGCGCTGTGTCTGACGCGTCACACTTTCTAATTACGCAACAGGTTGGCACACTCTTTACTAAACTCCGCCTCTCCATCTTCTATTAGAATGACATGCAACTCTTTTGTACGCCTTCCAGAATCTCATCTGCCATGTGTTCGGTCCCATACTATTTCCTTGTTGGCGGGCAGTTCAGGGTCCTGATGTCAATGCCTCTCCAGCCGCAAACGATGGTAATATAAAATCCAACCCCTTTGCAGGCCTTCCAGAATCTCGTCTGCCATGTGTTGGATCCTCACCATTACCTCGATGACAGGTGGTTCAGGCTGTCGATAGCAATGCCCCACCAGATGCAGATGACGGTGACATCACATTCATCTCTTCTTGTGTTATTTCGCATATTAAGACGTTGCCGGGGGCACTTCATGGTGCTCATGCATGGCAGTGACCCACCAGCCACAGAAGGCCTTCTTTCAATTCCGAAAATTTCGGAATTGGCCTGTAAGGCCCCTTGATTGTCACAATTATGTACTTTTCAGCTCATACTTTGCACCAAATCAAAGGAAGGACTCAGAAAAAGTTAAGGGCCGACACCCTCTGACCTCTAGAGTACCTCTCAATGGAAAGTGAGTTGAGAAATGTCTTTAATAAGAGGCCTTAGTTAAATATGAATTAGCAAGTCTGACGTTAACATGCAAAAAGGCTATAGTTCCTGTTATTTCAAAATATCCATCACTTTTATTTCTGATCAAAAACTGCAGACAGACTATAAATGGTACCGCAAAATCCCGGTTATAATCAATGGATTTGTTTAATTTAGTGACAAACTTCTGGCTGGGGTTTTACTCAGAGGAGCTCATGTCCGAGGGGGAATTATCAACGAAATAACCGTCAAAAATATTAGGAACAGGCAGACCACCAGACATACTCATTTCACTTAAAGGATAAAATTCAAAACTCTAACTAAACCTTTAACCGAAACATAAAAAACACAAGACATATAGATGGGCTCGTACCTAGATGGGCTTATAACCGTAATAAGCAGGGTTTTTTTTGGCAATAAATAAATGATACTGTACCCCGGGAGGGTAAAAAATGGAATAAAATGATTGTTTACAAATATATGTGCCAGGAGCCGATTACCAATACTAACTACTAATCAGCTCCTGTATGGGCATATAATCGGGTGGCTTATATCTGGGATTTTACGGTATCATTTCTGTTAATATGACCGATACCTTTAAACGAGGAAAGGTAACTGACAATTTTAATAAAGGAACGCTTCATCAGATTCTTTCTCCTTTATCTTTTTTGCTTTCCAATATTCTTCCGCATCGACGTTCCTCCCTCCTCCTCCTTTTTTAGGGGATTCGTTAGTGTTACAGTATGGCTTAAAAGATACAATGGTACCATCTGGTCTTTGAACTCGAACAATAGTTGCATCAAAACTTGGATAATAATCAGAGGCTTCTAACGACAGTCTGAAGAAAAAGAAGGAAAAAACTTGTATCTTATTACATAATGGTCGGTTCCAAGGGCAGCTTTGGTTTCTGGTCCAGGTTGTAGGAAAACTGGGTTCATGACTATTTATCGTCTGTCGCTTTTAAGTTATGTTTGCAGACAGAATTTAGAGTTATTCCTTTGAAAATGGTTTCTAATTTTAATTTAACAACAGCCCTACTTTTAGCAAGCAAGCCCAGGATATTAGCATTAAAAACAAGACTCGCTCACAAACTATCAAAAACCTCCTGAACCACCGCCCTGTCGAGATTTTGTGAATGTTATTTAATATTGTGAGACGTTTGGTTATTGGAAACTTATGTTCTTCAGACTGTCGGGCAAAAACGGGAGTGACATTGCGCTCATATTATCTTGATCAAGGGAACACTTGGTCTTTCTTTTTTGCGTAAAAAATTATACAGTCCCCTACAATTTTATGCTGTAAGGCAGTCGTCACTTGATCATAATTGAATTCATTCACTAATTCACTAAAGGTTTTTTAAGACGCCTTCATCCCTTGGGTAACCTCAGGGGGTGATCACTTAAAACTTTCGGACCTTCACGCATTCATCTTGAAAGATACTTGATGGTTTGCACATAGCGATGACATTTTACGATCTTTAAATGGTTTTAAATGTGAACTGAATGTGCGTTGTTGAGGTGAAGGTGGCTATAAGGATTCCACGGTGAATTGTAAGGTGTCACATCGTGTATCCATTTTTCACATTGCAGTAGCTGGAAAAAATGAGGCAAAATGATAAATTAAAAGTGCAATTACATGCAATGCAAAATAAAAATGCGTGGTTTTAATTTGCTGCGAATGGGATCGTGAATGGGATTACTTAAATGGAAGGCGGGCCGCCCTCATGTCCTCAAACCGATTTTGGGGGAGTTGTTTGGAACTATTCTAGCATGAGGATACTCAGACTGGCCACTGATCGTCTTAAAAATGCTAGGTAATACGTCCTCGGAATGGACTTATTGTGCTTTCAAGTAGCAAGATAAATGGAAGTTGCGCACTACCATACAATCAGAATAGCTGCGATGAACGTTGCTTTGGAAAGCTTTTTTCTGTAAAATTGTGCACATGCACAGAGATCCCTAAAAAGAAAGTCCGCTGACTCGTGACTTTTACAGCTTTCGAAAATTGAGATGAGAGCAATTGTTCTTCCTTATCGTAAACTGGGTTACTAGATTTTAAAATATTGTGCACTTCTAAAAATTAAAAAAAAAAACCCAAAAGCTTTATTTCTAAACAATGAAACGTTTGTAGGTATTTTAACTTTCAGACGTCAGTCACACCAACCAAACACGTTTTGTTTTTTGGCATGAATTTTTTTCCTGCGAATTTCTATTTTTCAGGTCTTTTACTTCCAAACAACACAAAATAGGTCTAAAGCAACTTGCCCTCAGCCCTGCTCGGACTGGTTTTTCAGAGGGGTTTGCCATAACAAGTCTATCAATCTCATTACGTTGTCAGAACAGTACGAACAAATCAATTGGCCGAGAAATGCACATCAAATGCACATCACTGCTCTGTCATCTTTCCTGAATCGTGAATCAACAGGCTTTAATTACAACAGTAAACATATTTCATCCAAAGACGTGTGTAAACTAACCGGTTGTGCCCATTAACTTCCCTTGGACCAACATTTTTGGAGCCGACATCTTTGACATTGTAGTGCCTACTGACCGATCCATTGCGAACACTCTTATGAGACGATGTGCTTTCAGGATCCCAGTTGTAACCTTCCAAAACGTATTCAGGAGGAGGTGGGGTCTTAACGGGCCCAAGAAGAAAGGAATTGGTTGCTTCCTCTAAAGTCTTTGATTCGTTTGTCCCATATCCGCTCAGTTTTGGTTCCTCCTTGACATTTAGCTGATGCTTATTCTCGTGTTGCCGATAATACACAAAAACACCAACAATCAGGGCCAAACTGAGGGCGCCAGCAACTGTGGCGAAAAATACAGTGATACAATCCGAAGAGTGATCTACGAAAAAAAAAATGCCACTACACGGTTAATTCCAAAAAATTATCCAAACTGTGGTTTTGGTGTCGTGTCCGTGAATCAGATACAGTTCCTCGTTACGCTCTAATTTGAATTAGAACTTAAAACTATTACAGTCCAATTTACTTGGGCTTACTTAGACCAAAGGGCTGGAATGAGTTCCAGAGTGGCCTGACATAAATATTTGATAGGGCTCTTCTACTGAAATTTGAGTCACACATTTCGCCACAATGGGCTGAAATGACTTTTTGGGTCCGTAAGTTACCAACCAAAAGATTAAATAGAACTAAAAAACTTAAAGCGCACTGGATGTAATTTTTCTTTTGAGTGAATAAATGGGAGGATGCAGGGTGGATGGATGGATTGATGGATGATTGGATAAACGGAAGGGTACACGAGTGCATGGATATATGCGTGGATGCATGGATGTATGTATGGGACGGATGCATCAATGCATCGGTGCATGGATGCATGGAGATGAAATAGATGCATGTATGCATGCTTGCATCGATGGATGGATGGATGGATGGATGGAGTCCTGGACATAAAATTGAGACACGTCCATTGAATAGTTGTTAAAAAAAGGTAAATTGATACTTAAACTTAATGACATTGGTTGAAATCATTCAGTATAACCCGAGGAACCGATCTGTACATGCATTTGCTTCTGCTGGGTAGAGAACTAAGGTAATGAGGTATTTATACCTTGCAAGAACAAAAACCACACAAAAAGTGTGCCAGAAATGCCAAGAGATCCAACCTCGGATTTTGCTGTAGAAACAACTTGTTCTACCTGAAGAGTATTTAACGCCTTGACTCTTGAATCGTTTGGTTCAGTAGTGGTGGTGTGAACTGTAACATGTTCTCGAGACGATAGTAGGGTGCTTGAGGTAGCCGCGATGTTGACAGTTGAGGTAATCGTTATCGATGAGAAGCTTACAATTGAGGTTGTTGATGGTAACGTGTTCGTTGTTAATGTGCTTATCGGAATGCTCTTTGCCATGGTAATAGTACTTGATGACGTGTACAAAGGAGGTTTCTTTCTTTTCTGCAATTCTTGTAGAGGGATAAATAATGATAAAAAATACATTGTTTGTATTTGTATGAGCCTTCGGCGCGACATTTTCTGGTGTTGTTTGGGTAAACAAACATCAGTTTTGATTGGTCAATGGCATACAAAAACAACCAGTAACACCTATAACTTATCACTCTAACGATCCCAGAAACTGTTGCGCCAAAAGCTTGTATCCCTTCTTTCTGAGGTTTATGGGTTGTGAAATATCAAATACGTGGAATTATTTCCTTTTATTATATAGACACGAGTGTTTTACTGGAAAAGATACCACTCGTAAAATTCATAAAAACTACATCTGGGACCGGAGTGGTTTATTTTCCATAATCTCACACGTGAGTTTATCGATGACGTAATTCCGGTAATTTCCCTCTATTATTTTATCGATGTCATTTTGTCTATATAATAAAAAGAACATTACACGGTGGCGCGAAGATATGAATTTTATTTTCGAGTGGCAAAACAATATTTTACAAACGAGCGCAGCGAGTGAGTAAAATTCATATCTTCAAATACGTGGGATTATTTCCTTAGATTTGCTTAATCACATACATAAAGATATTGACGATACGAAATATGAAATATTAAGATTATGAATTTCAAGGGTAAAGAGGCGGAAAAGAGATCGGCCTGAAAATGTTCCTTGAATATGAAAGAGGTGATGAGCCATCAGCACGGAAAATGTGACAAGGAAAAACTAACAGAAACTCCAAAAACCACGCAGATTTGACCCCGAGGCAAGTGAAATCGTCTGGCAAACCTTTCAAGAAGTTGCTCTTATAATTATGTTCTTAATTCTGAATAATGCGAAACTTGGAATTCAAACGAAATTCACGTACATTTCGTTTCTTGGTCCTGTGACAAAAACTGTGCTTAAAAACTACTTCTCAACTTGTACAATAACCCAAAGAAGATATTTATAATTGGAACTCGTACACCTTACTCCCAAAAGGACCCAAATTTTGTTATTCTTTTATCTGCCCTCGATACATCATTTCAAGATGTATTTTCTCGCGTTAAGGAATGCACGTTGCTTCAGTGCTTTGCATACGGATGTGTTGGTATTTCTCGCGTGAGTTATTTTGACAGTGTGCGTGATTATTTGTTATCAGGTATATAAGGTGGTCTTTGCAGATTCAAGGTCACTTGACGGCATCTCTCGCTACCGTTCTGTAAATTTTCTTGTATTTGTTATCTTTTTTGTTATTATATTTAATCTTTCAGAAAGGTTGTTACCAGATTGTACATTANAATGCACGTTGCTTCAGTGCTTTGCATACGGATGTGTTGGTATTTCTCGCGTGAGTTATTTTGACAGTGTGCGTGATTATTTGTTATCAGGTATATAAGGTGGTCTTTGCAGATTCAAGGTCACTTGACGGCATCTCTCGCTACCGTTCTGTAAATTTTCTTGTATTTGTTATCTTTTTTGTTATTATATTTAATCTTTCAGAAAGGTTGTTACCAGATTGTACATTATTGACATTATTGTTAGCTTACGTCTTCGTTAGCTGTAGTTTGTAGTATGTTTATTCATGTATTTTGCCGGTGTTCTAGCTATCAATAAACGAGATGCCTATTGCTGATTCTTGTCTGCGTTTCATGGTTTCTAGAGTGAAAATGGTTTGTTCTCGTTTCACTGCAAAGTGATTAGAGAACAAGTTAAATTTCTTTAGAATTCTGCAGGTGAAATCGAGGTGAAGAAGGCTAATTAGCAAAAATATAGAAGAAAAGTATTATCACCTCCATTTTTATTTTAAAGACGGTGCATTAACTGCTTAATAACTGCTTTAAATAGGTATATAATGGTATGTGAAAGGGAAGATAAATCTGTCATTTCGGTCTGTAAAAATGCCCAAAATGTTTTACAGATACATTTTATGGCTTTCAAAAAAGTCGAGACGGACAAATTCTGTATTTGTGATATATTCTTATTTCAAAGACGGTGAATTGACAGCAGTTAAAAGGAACACGTTATTAACGAGGTATGTTAAAGGTGTACCGTTTGTCAAAAATGAAATATAAAAGGGTAAGGAGTTGGATCTTGCGGCGAAGCCTCCACGTCTAAAACTTTGTTGATTACCCCACGGGGCAAAAACGCTTTCCTAATCGTAGAGATTATACGCATTAATCATAATAAAGTGACTCAACTCACACACACTTACCACAGGCATACACCAAGTTAAGATAAGGGTGCGCTCTATGCGGACAAGGATTCCCAAACAGAGCACTTTGCACTCTCACTTTACACTTGTTTTTCTCTGCACACAAGGCTTTAATCTTCTCAGTGACGTCTTTCTCGCCACAGTTATAGTTCTGATCATTCTTATCCCCATTGTACGGGCAAATCACATGACCAGGTTCTGTTCGCCCAAACTGTGCAGAGTATATGATCAATCCCATGCTGGAGTTTCTACAATTTAGTTTAAGACGATCATTTTGGCAAGTGACTTTGTTTTCTGGAATAACTCCATCATCGGGAATCTCCAATGCTGAAAAAAAGAAACAATGTTAAACATTTCAACGTTTCGCATGTAAAAATGTCTTGTCATCATCATTTGAGAGAATCCAATATTAGATTCCTGATTTCAGATTCTTGGAATTCGTTATCACGAAAGAGAACCAAAACAACGAGAAAACCACTTCTTTAACGTGACATCAGTTGGTACCATGTGGTATTTAACACGAAAGTACTAATTGGAGACACTATTTTTACGTCTCTAACTGGAAACGGGACCGCTATTTTACGTGGTCATCCGAGCCACGCGAAGGTCTCGCAGTGCAAAGGGATCCGAAGTGCCTTTTTCATTTCTCAGTCCGGCACCGGGAATCGAACTCAAGACCTATCGCTCTGCAGTTAAGCACTCTACCGACTGAGCTTATCCTGCTACGGAACCAATGAGAAACTCGTTGATGCCGGGACTCGGGCTGGATTGGTATGAGGCGAGTGCTCTCGCCAATGCATTATAGTTCTGCACTATCCAACTAACCAGCATGTTAGAGATCCTTATAAAAGGAGCCAGTCTTAATCAGATGGAAGAATCCGCTTGCTTTTGTAAATAACATTGAATTCACTTTTTCTATATGAAAAGTAAGGGAAAATATAAGATGTCTCCTAGAGTTGTTATGATGGGGGTTATTGATATTTCACTAAGAATTGTATTTGCATTTTTATCTCTTAGAAGAATTTTCTTTCCTCATAATTTTTCTTGGTAGGTTAGTTTTTCGGATACGTCGCATGATAGAGAACTTGAGGTGGTCGTTTTTTTCTGAAATATCCAGTAAATATACCAGAAGAAACCGTGGTGCGAGGTGACTAAACAAAATGTTAAAAGTGGTGTCAGTTCACCTCAAAAGCAACGCAAATTACAAAGCCACCGTCGGATACATTAAAATGCTAAAATAACTCCGAGGCTTTAGGCACTAAATTGCAAATTTTTCACTACTCCGTTGTCTCGCGATTCCCAGGAGAGACTTGAGCAGAGAAAAAAAACAAACCAAACAAAGAAAAAGAGCAGAAAGACTTGGAGTCATGTTAGAATTTTTAAAAAAATATTGAGCGTGGGCTATTTGCATAGTGCTAAATATCTACCACTTCACTAAATACTATCTCTACCTACAACTTTCCAAATTAGAACCTACCCGGAGTGAGTACTGCATATTAAAGAGAATGACTTGCAATTTAGATACCATGGTCATCGTGGGACTGGCAAAATTTGTTCGAAACGTTGCTCAGAATGATACTTCATCTTTAGGTATCTAACAAAGTGGCAGGTTGGACTTCGCCGGTCGATCAAATCACGAGACTTATCGATTAATTATAACTAATTGAGCTGAATAAGCAAATTGATCACTCTAAATATGTTATGGTTAGGTCTGGGTCAAATAGCCTTGAAAATTATCGTTTTTGATAGACACCTTTAATATCCGTGCATTAGTAATTCCTTTTGTGAAATATAATTGGTATCTTTTACGTTCGTTGTTGTTTCTACCAATACCATAGCTCCTTTGTCTTATGTTTAATCCTATAAAACCATTCCTTGATATGGGTAAAGCGCGAAGGGTTATTCAAACCGTTTGCAAGGACAAATGTGATGTTAAGAATGTAACTGCAAAAATAATCTTTAATTATAATGGAAAAGCACTTAGCCCGCCTACTCTAGCTTGTTTGTAGCATTCAACTCAATTAATCATAAACTAGAAACAT